CTCGAAACGTTGGGTTGTTTTCACTCGCATCTGTTGCTGAGAGCAGCAGCTGTCAATCGACAGTGCGCGCTCGGCCGGTCAACAAAAAAAAGCCGGTAATTACAACCCACATCTGGCAAGAAGCGCAGCACAATTATTTTTGGATCTGGAAACTGTCAGATATCATCTAGGCTGAGTGATTGTACATGAAGAAGGAACAGAAACGTTCATGTAGGCAGATGCACATTGTGGGGAATTCCACTCCGAACATGCCGACAAAATATAATCATGTCTTCTGCATGTTCCAAGAATTCTGCACTTTACAGGCTGATCTGAACACCCAATCTGCCAAGATCTGCCAAGTTAGTATTTGCATGTATTTGCTGCAGCCGAACAAACTCCAGCTTTGTCCATCACAGCCTGTAGTTTTGGCCTCCTATTTCGCTTCGCGAAAGTGGGGCAATTTTATTTCAATCTCCTGGGTGTTTCGTGCGCGTTGCCACCCAGGAGCAAGTTGGGTGAGAGCTAAAACACGAATGCTGGGCAGGGCAGGAAGCCTGCAGGCTGTGCCGAAACCGACCTCGATGGTACTTCCAGTTACGGGGATTTTGACCTGGAAGATGTATTATGAATGATCATGATCATTCATGATCTATCATGATATAAATCCTTATAATTCCCCATACATGACCAGCAATGATTGCATCAGACTACCTGCCGACGGCAAAAAATATGGCTCAGTGGCCTCCTCTCATCAGCCTGGCCCAAAATGGCAAAAATCAGAATGGTGAGATAATGTGAGATATGGTGAGTATAACATTGAGTACCCTCTGGTGAACTAACATAACTATGGGAAATCACCATTTTGAATGGGTAAATCAACTATTTCGACTGGGCCGTGTTCAATAGCTATATGATAGGCTATATTAATCTATATGTTGGTTTACCAGAGGCTGATGTGTTTTTTTTCCCCCTGAATTTTCCATCAAAGAACGTGTTTTTCTATGGAGATCACTGAGTCCAACTTCTGGCAGCAGTACACACTGAAGACTGACGCCGCGGCTGCCGCACCTCGATGGAGATGTAGACATTACAGCAGCAGGATCGGCTTGGTTTAATCACCTATAGCCTATGTGTATATTATATATATATATATTATATTATTATTATTATATATATATATTGTAATATATTGTATCTCTATGTTTATATCATCCATTACCTAGTACCAATGATATATTGTATCCGTATTCACCTCTTTGGCAATCTGCGTGCAGGTCAGGTCACTTGTAGATTACTGATTACACCAAACTCCGAAATATACCGGGATTTTATATCACTGGCTGGTGTTCCATGCTGAAACATAACCTAATTAGGATTTACATCTTCAAAGTTTCTATGTTTTTATAATCTTTCCCATAGGATCCATGGTGCTGCTATATATGGTAACATGGATCCCATCAATATACCCCCTTTAGGTTAGCATTAATATACCAGCACCATGGATCCGTCATGGGTTTAGGCATTCGTCCTCTCGATCTTCAATGTGCTCCCAACTTGAGGCCAGCACGGTCACGTGTTGCAGCAGAAACATCCTGCCCCGTTGCGGCATCGACATCGACCACTTTGCAAATGAGCTGAATTGCCATCTGTGTGCTCAACTTCATGCTCAGGATTTCATCAACTGTAGAACTTCTTTTCAAATAAGCTACTGTGTATCATGTATTATATATATAATACGTATGATAAGGTATTAGATGTTTTCACATGTGTTCACAGAAAGAAAAAACGGTTCCATGAATCCACTTTTGTTTTTTGAATAGTCATTTCCTCATCCTACATCCGAGGTTGCAGGTCATGTTATTGTTGTTATTGTTGTTGTCGTTGTCGCTGTTGTTGTTGTGGTTGTGTGAAGAAACACGTATTACTTAATATACATACATGCAAATATACATGTCCAGTTTGGAGACACCAAAACCTCGTTTTGCTCAAGGAGTCCATATGAAAAGGAACGTAGAAATTAGACCCTATGGTTCTTTACCGTAGCTATGGAAAATCACCATGTTTATATATATATATATATATATGTAAACAAAGCTAAATCATCCGTAAACCGTAAACAGACCATTTTCTGTCGCTATTTTAGATTACCGGAGGACTTTTAGTAGGCTACACAAGTCTTTTTTTCATGATTCATGCTTCATGTACAAAAACACTGATTTTTCACTGTCAATGTAAAATATCTGTTATTGTTGGTTAAATTCCGGATGTCTGACGTTTTAACCATTGTCCCTTGTGACTCTTCACTACTAATTATTATTGTTCGAAGAGTCGAAGAGTTATACCTTTTTCTAGCCGAACTCCCGACCAGTATTCCCCTTTGTTATGCTAAAAGACTTACTTATCGTACTCAAAGAATCCACAACTAATTGTGGTGAACTCCCCAGTTTAGGATCTTTGATCTGATTGTTTTTATATTCATGCACATACAGGAGCAACATTGCATTTACGACAGCAACAACAACAACAACAACGACAGCAACGACGAAAACAACAGCATATAAAAGCATTGGAATTAGGTTTGTAAAATCAATAATAAATCCGTCCAGTAATCAACCAGGGATCAAAAGAAACATCATCCCGAATAGGTATAGCCCAATGAGGATAGTTTGTTATTGGCTTTACCTAATGTATATCCATGAAAAAATCAATATAGATCAATATATATATATACATATTGATGTTCCTATCCATGGTACAACTTGAAGGATCATCCCACATAGTAAGTTGTCAATATAGTAAATAACAATAATTATAATCCCTTTGTAGATTGATTAACCCTCTTAGGGCTTACTAACCAGGGATGATCCTCCAAGAACTAGTTGCTCTCCAATCAATGAACAAAGATGCGGTTCTTGTCCGAGAATTATGCAAAAGTGGTAGACATTATAAATATCAAACTATCCATTGATAATGGTAGAGTTGCTTATACATGTACTGTATTGTCCACAATTCTCCCATGTTTATCCAATAAAATGCAAGTCCAAGTGTCCAGTCGTGATATTTATGACTGTCTAATAGTATCCAGTATCCATCATTAAATCATTGTCCCATCGTATTCATCTTATTCGACGATAGTCCATAATGATATTCATGGGGAAACATACCTACATTTGTGGATTAACCCCTACCCATCAAACATGGCAATGGACCATCCATCATTGAATCATGTATCGATAATTTGCCCATCTAGAATCCTCCCTGTATATATATATATATATATTATTATTATAGTGGGATTTCCCATTGCCGTTTGATGACTCTGGAGAGTATATCTGTTCAATATCCCGCTGATATCTTCGTTTTGGTTGGTTCAGTCACCATTTTTATACTTGAATCACCTTTACAACCACTGATTTCCCATTAAATCCCATCAAAGCACCATTAAAGACCAAATAAATCCAGTAAACACATTAAAATCATGAAAAATCCATTAAAACATATTAAATCCTCATCAAATATCATTATATATATATATATACACACTATATCTCATCAAATCACAAAAACAAATCCAGAACAATCCCGATGACTTGCGCACCGAGATCACTGCTGAAGTTCGCGAGGCACGGCGATGAGAAGGACCTCGGTTCCATGGATTTTTATCTGGGGAAAAAACAGGAAACACACATGGAAAATCTGTAGCACATCCTGTATAGATGTTCAATATGTCTAGAATTCCGAGTTTCTCGAGAATTCCGAATGGTAAGAAATGCTTTTTGAGCCCGCTGTGGTTAGGTGGAAGTGAATTTCAATCCCGAAACCCCGAGAAATCCTGGATTTTATATGTACATTTTGATTAAGATGCCAACATATGCCAGCCTAATCAACCTATTACTCGAAAATTATGTCAATGATTGTCAATGTGGGTTTCGTGGATTTCAAGACTCAAGACGTCCTATAGAATTAAGAAGTAAGATCTCTTCTTTGCACATATTTGAACATACTAACATACGTTGTTTTTTCCACACAGGGAATAAGAACAGAAAATCAATATATATATAATATATAATATATATATAGGATTAGGTTTTGAAATGTCATGACATGGACCCAGTGCTAATCCAAAGACATATTGCGAAGTAAACATCTGAAGTAACTTCTTGATGTGCGACAATATCGTGACAAATCTAATGAATATATTCCAGGTGGGGATAGGGAAAAAGGACTCATCGCATCCTGGCCAGATCTAGAGATTCGCCAATGTAGACCCCCAGCCACATTTGATGAAGCCAGAGGGTATCTCATAAGTATCAGAAAAAGAAAAAAAACAATTCCCATCCATTCCCTATGGATTCCTCAGTCGCAGTGGTATGTCCATTATTTTCCATTGTATATTGTGAAATGTTATAGCAAATCATCGACTCAGCCAATCCAAGCACAGAAAGAAAAACATCTTCCTGATTCTTCAAAGTGACCTCTTCAGCCACCAATTCAAGGTCAGTTACCCTCTGGTAAACTAACATAACTATGGAAAATCACCATTTTTAATGGGAAAACTCACTATAAATGGCCATTTTCAATAGCTATGTTAAAGTACCAGAGGGTAACAATTTTAGGATCACTGAGCCACCTCAAAAGGATCACGAAGAAGCAGCTGGTTCAGCCAGCAGCTGAGTTCCACGCTGGGACTCGAAACCCCTTCGTTTGGAACTACCTGCGGATCATGGAATATCATGGATCGTCTAACACAGCAATGCATCGTGTAAGGCTGACCTGAACAATGATAAACATATCCCAAAATGGCTGGTTGAATCGGGAAATTGATGATACACCATTGGATTTTTGGACTACCCATGGGTACCCTATTTTCAATCACACCCATTTCAAAGAGACGAGGATCCTGAACTCGAGTATGTATATTCCGACGTCGACGTCTCTTTCTTTTATCCTTGTTTGGTGTTGATTTGTTGTTCATGTCCGTTGCTTTATTCTTTGTGTGTTCCCTGTCATGTGTTCACATTTATTGGTTTGTCCTGTTCTATGCTTCCTAGTTTGTTCCATATGTTACTTTGACACCTTTCTTGTCCTGACTTATGCTTCCCTTCAGAATTGTTCCACTGTCATAGACAATGGTGTGTTCAAGCACTGTGATCCAAGAATGCCTTGAATGGGAAATCAACAGGTCTACTGATTATTCTCTCCTGATGTATCTCTCCGTAGAATTCAAACGGGGTATATGGTTTAGAGCATGGTGGTTGGAGTTGCCTCCATTCCTGCTGGAGTCTCCCTATCATTGTGCGGTTGCTCAGTTGCACAAACCCACGTTTGGTCCAACTTTGATGAAAACGCATCAATCTGGGTAAATTAGAAGAATTCACAAACCAGAAAATAGCTGAAATAAGATGAAATAAGGCCATATGGGGATGATTCCCCCTTACTAGCCATCATTCCAGTGACATCGCTGTGACGTCGCTTAAAAATCCAGATCAATGTCTTCAAAAGTCATCGAGTCCCTGGGTGCGTCGCCATATTTCCATGCAGAAGGGACGACAAAACGTCATCAAATCGAGAAGGTTCCACTGTTGTGACAACCTCGCGTGGCTTCGATCCCACGAGGCGTTCTGCATCTGAAAAACCATGTGGGAGTCTCTCCGGCATTTATACAGTTTCTTCAACCTGGTTGTTCAAAGTTATCTTTAAAAAAAAAACACCAATAAAGTAAGGTCACTTAAATTCAAAAGTTCAGGGCCGCTCTGGCCCACCACAAAAGGGTCACTTTGAAGAACCTGGTCCTGGTGCTGGTGTGCAATTTGGGGATGTCCCGAGTCATTGATCCAGAATTTTTTTTGACGCGAGACAAACCACTGGTTATCATGGAGTATATAGCAGGAGTCTATGGACGGATACCAGGTTTTGAAACCAAACCATCCTGTGTAACAGCTTAAACTCTCTGTGTAACACCACTTCCCATCTGGCAGCTACATACAGTACTCAGTACTGTTTTTGCGGTTGCGAAGCAGTTGTCAACTGAATTCATCATGTTCACCCTCAACAATTTCAGGTTGGGGGTTACAATTTGCCTGTCATGACTCAAGGACAGTCATTGGAGGTTCATCACCAACGATAGGTAAATTGTCAGCAAACGAAATCAGTAGAAAAAAAGGTAGCATAATATTTTATTTCTCGCCACGTTTCAGGTTAGATTAGCAAAGATGACAAAGGTTATTGGCAATCACCAACAAAAACCAGCGTCGAGTGGTATTATTGTCACCAAAATTTCAACCGCGTTTCCTTCACTTTTGCAGATCTCACAGGGACCCCAAAAATGACAAATTTCTTAGACTTGATCCAGGATATTGGAAAACCCGATTCTAAAGGATGGGAACCTCAGAATTTCGTTTCCACCTTTAAACATAGCCATAATTTGGAAGTAAATAAACCATAGATCAGACAAACCGATTTGATTTTGTTGATGCAATCAAACCTGCCAATGGAAACCCACTATTAAACATTATTTTCCCAGCTCTACCCTCCATGTATAAGGGATTTTCGATTGCCACGTTTAGTGACACCGGAGGATATATTCCCATTGTATCCGCATGTGTTGGTTGGCGACCAGTAGTGCCGCACAAGGCCGTGGCAAAACTTTGAAAAATAAAAAACTATAGGAGAGGTGAGTTGTTGTGATGCATGGATGGCAAAAGGTGGTTGGAGTTGTGTGTTTTGGAAGCAGTTCTGGTCGTAGTGTAATGTTTTGCCTTTTGTGGTAGCAGTTGTTGTTGTTAATGATGTTGTTGTTGTTGCTGTTGTAGTTGTAGATGTAGTTGTAGTTGTTGTAGTTGTAGTTGTAGTTGTATAGTTGTAGTTGTAGTTGTAGTTGTAGTTGTAGTAGTACTACAGTAGATGGACAAAATATTCAAACCCTGCAGCACGCACTATGTTGAACCCCCGCACCCCCAAATCTCAATGTTTCAGCGCGCGTGTTAGCAAAAGTGATGTTAGGGGTTTGATTTTTTTCGTCCATTGGGGCTAACGCACTTCAGGTTACAATAACATTGAACTTTGGGGGCGAGGGGGTTGTACCGGATAGAATTTGTTTGAATATTTCGTCCATCTACGGTAGTAGTAGTAGTAGTAGTAGTAGTAGTAGTAGTAGTAGTAGTAGTAGTAGTAGTAGTAGTAGTAGTAGTCATAGTAGTCATAGTAGTAGTAGTAGTAGTAGTAGTAGTAGTAGCAGTAATAGCAGTAATAGCAGTAATAGCAGTAGCAGTAGCAGTAGCAGTAGCAGTAGCAGTAGCAGTAGCAGTAGCAGTAGCAGTAGCAGTAGTAGTAGTAGTAGTAGTAGTAGTAGTAGTATTAGTAGTAGTAGTAGTAGGAGTAGTAGTAGTAGTAGTCGTCGTCGTAGTCGTCGTAGTAGTAGTAGTAGTAGTAGTATCAACTGTTGTTGTTATAGTTGTAGCTGTTGTAGTTGTAGTTGTTGTAGTTGTTGTAGTTGTTGTAGTTGTTGTAGTTGTTGTAGTTGTTGTAGTTGCTGTAGTTGTTGTAATTGTTGTAGTTGTAGTAGCTGTTGTAGTTGTAGCTGTTGTAGTTGTAGTTGTTGTTGTTGTTGTTGCTGTTGTAGTTGTAGTTGTAGATGAAGTTGTAGTTGTAGTAGTAGTAGTAGTAGTAGTAGTAGTTGTAGTAGTAGTTGTAGTTGTAGTTGTAGTTGTAGTTGTAGTGCCGTGTCGTGTAGTGTAGTGTAGTGGTAGTGTAGTGTGATGCGATGGAGTGTAGCGTAGTGTAGTTGTAGTTGTAGTTGTAGTCGTAGTCGTAGTTGTAGTTGTAGTTGTAGTTGTTGTTGCAGTTGCAGTTGCAGTTGCAGTTGCAGTTGTAGTTGTTGTAGTTGTTGTAGTTGTTGTAGTTGTTGTAGTTGTTGTAGTTGTTGTAGTTGTTGTAGTTGTTGTAGTTGTTGTAGTTGTTGTAGTTGTAGTAGTTGTAGTAGTTGTAGTAGTTGTAGTAGTTGTAGTAGTTGTAGTAGTTGTAGTAGTTGTAGTAGTAGTAGCAGTAGTAGTAGTTGTAGTTGTAGTTGTAGTTGTATCAGCTGTTGTTGTTATAGTTGTAGCTGTTGTAGTTGTAGTTGTTGTAGTTGTTGTTGTTGTTGTAGTAGTTGTAGTTGTTGTAGTTGTTGTAGTTGTTGTAGTTGCTGTAGTTGTTGTAGTAGTAGTAGTAGCAGTAGTAGTAGTAGTAGTAATAGTTGTAGTTGTAGTAGTAGTTGTTGTTGTTGCTGTTGTTGATCTTCTTTCTTATTCCTTTCTCTTCTGTGACTCTTCCCACCTCTGCTTTCCATCTGTCCATAGTGTTGGAAGTTTGACTTCTAAACTTCCTTCAAAAATCACACGGGTTCCCGAAGCATGGGTTCCCGCACCGCATCCGCTGCTCGATGTGACTGAAAAGCCAGAGGAGACGAAGTGACTGTCAGTGCGACTCAGGTTGGGGTGGAGCGACTTTTTGATGCAGTGAAACTCCACAAAATTTTGAGTTTATGATAGACATGTTCATGAAGTTTAAAATTACAAAATAACCACCTTGTGAAGCCCTCTGATTTCCAGGTAAAACTTGATTTAGACGAATCCTACTAGAGAAAACCAAGCCACAGACGGTCAGAAGGCCGAGATCATGGACCCCTTCAAAATGGCTATCTTGATACCGACACATGCGTCTTGGTCAACACATTGGATGAATGTCGTTTGGCATCCCACCATCATTCGGGATTCCTGAAAAATCGACCATGGCATGTGACATCACTGATCGACCGAGCCTGATGAGCTGCCTCTCCTTTTTCTGCTCTCCAAAAACACCTGAATGCCACCACTAGATGGCTCCCCCCCCAATGTTGTGCATATATATATATATAATATATATATATATATATATACCTAGTGTGTGTATACAATTATAGTATGTATATAAATCACTAGTGTGTATATAAATGAATAAATGTGTGTATCTAAACCTATACAAATACCTATCTATCTATCTATCTATCTATCTACCTATCTACCTATCTACCTATCTACCTATCTACCTATCTACTTATCTACCTATCTACCTATCTACCTATCTACCTATCTACCTATCTACCTATCTACCTATCTACCTATCTACCTATCTACCTATCTACCTATCTACCTATCTATCTATCTATCTATCTATGGTATGTCCTTACCAATGCAGCTGCAGATGTACATGAAACATACACACATGATTTCAAGTACACCAAACAAGAAACCCATACAAAGCTGGTGTGAAGTTCTCAAGTTCATGTGTATACCGTGTATATATATAAATACACCAGCACTTAGGGCTATAAACACACACACACATATATATATATATATACATGGTCACACGCGGATATTTGCCCTTGGGTTATTTGTTGATTTTGGCATTTCTCCATGTTCAAATTTTGCAACCCTTACAGCACTTTGTGCCCTGAGTGAAAATAAATGAAAGTAGCGTTTCGCTGTGGTTTTAGCACACTCGTGTGTCATTTGCATTGGAATTTACAGGATGTTGCGGTAATTAATAATTCGAGGCTCCTGTTCGCTCAAAAGTAGTTTTCTCTCTTGCTTGTTCTGTGTGTCCCAAGTCTTCCAAGTTACATGATTTTCCCCAACTCTTTGGTCAAGTTGGCATGGTTGCCCAATTTGCTTCGCCACGCGAAGCCCCAAACATAGGGCATTAGCTTTACAGCAATGCCACCTCCAGGTCTGTCTTTGACGCGGAGAGAAGCAGGCGATGTCTTTTCAAGACTTTGCCACCAACAGTCGACACATGGTGTGCCAGCGAACGCTGCCCCAGGTTTCTTCCTGGATTTCCTGGATTTCTTCGTGTCAGAAGTTCCAAGAACATGTTAGAAGCGTAGCATCAAGAGCGTGTCAAACGTTCCAAGAACATTTTGGAAGCGTAGCATCAAGAGCGTGTCAGACGTTCCAAGAACATGTTGGAAGCGTAGCATCAAGAGTGTGTCCGACGATCCAAGAACATGTTTGAAGCCTAGCATCAAGAGCGTGTCAGAAGTTCCAAGAATATGTCAGGAGCGCAGCATCAACAGTGTGTCCGACGTTCCAAGAACATGTTAGAAGCCTAGCATCAAGAGCGTGTCAGAGGTTCCAAGAACATGTTAGAAGCGTAGCAACAAGAGCGTGTCCGACGATCCAAGAACATGTTTGAAGCCTAGCATCAAGAGCGTGTCAGAAGTTCCAAGAATATGTTAGGAGCGCAGCATCAACAGTGTGTCCGACGTTCCAAGAACATGTTAGAAGCCTAGCATCAAGAGCGTGTCAGAAGTTCCAAGAACATGTTGGAAGCGTAGCATCAAGAGTGTGTCCGACGATCCAAGAACATGTTTGAAGCCTAGCATCAAGAGCGTGTCAGAAGTCCCAAGAATATGTTAGGAGCGCAGCATCAACAGTGTGTCCGACGTTCCAAGAACATGTTAGAAGCCTAGCATCAAGAGCGTGTCAGACGTTCCAAGAACATGTTGGAAGCCTAGCATCAAGAGTGTGTCCGACGATCCAAGAACATGTGTAAAGCCTAGCATCAATCAGAAGTTCCGAAGAATATGTTAGGAGCGCAGCATCAACATGCAGTGTGTCCGACGTTCCAAGAACATGTTAGAAGCCTAGCATCAAGAGCGTGTCAGAAGTTCCAATAACATGTTAGAAGCGTAGCATCAAGAGCGTGTCAGAAGTTCCAAGAACATGTTAGAAGCGTAGCATCAAGAGCGTGTCAGAGGTTCCAAGAACATGTTAGAAGCGTAGCAACAAGAGTGTGTCCGACGTTCCAAGAACATGTTAGAAGCATAGCATCAAGAGCGTGTCAGAAGTTCCAAGAACAGGTAAGGAGCGCAGCATCAAGAGCGTGTCAGAAGTTCCAATAACATGTTAGAAGCGTAGCCTCAAGAGCGTGTCAGAAGTTCCAAGAACATGTTAGGAGCGTAGCATCAATAGCGTGTCAGAAGTTCCAAGAACATGTTAGGAGTGTAGTATAGTTGAAGGTTAAAACTCTTATTCTCATTTGGGTACGACAAGGCGTAGTGCTCTACTCATTGCCTTTGAATTTGTGCCTGTGTTTTTGTTTTGGGCTGGATATTATGTGGATATAGCATGAGTATTGAGCACATTACATACACCGTCAAGGCTCAAGAGAGATATAGAGTAATCCTGTAGACGCCGCACCGACTGGTTATTGGCCGTGAGTAAAAGGTGTGTAGCTGTCTGGGAAACGCTCTAGCTGATCTAATCTAGACGCTAGTGCCCCTCTTCACCGACGCCCCCCACCTCCCCCAGAAATCCCAGAAATGTGCAAGAATGTACAAAAACGCCAAGGACGTTTATCAACGTGCCTCCAACTACACACACACATATATATATAAGATGTAGACATCGACATAATATATCCATCATAGATTAAATTGTTCGCCTCGTTACGTTTGCCAACTCACCTATCTCTTGGGGCCAGGGGAATGCAAATACGCCAGAAAAATGTCAGCATCTATCTATAACCTATAATATATAGATACTGTATATACATATATATATATATATGTATATATATATATATATGGGTATGTCTCAAAATGAGGAGTGCGGCCCGGGAAGTTTGACTAGGGGGTATGATTCGTGGGTATGATTCGGGGTATGATTCGTGGGTATGATTAGTGGGTATGATTCGCGGACCTTGATTTAGTGTTTCCCTGCATCCTCCGCGTATAGTTATTTACCCACACTTACCCCGAAAATGTTTCAACTGTTGGTAATTATACCATACGTGGAGCGCTCTGGAGCTGGCATGCTGTTGACGTGTGCGTGCTGCTGTCAGAGTGGTGTGCGCGCTTTGGAGCGGGCATCGTGGTGCCGTTGGAGTGCCGCTGCAAGGTGCTGGTGCAGGGTGTTGCTTGCTGTCAGAGTGGTGTGTACAGTTTGGAGCGATGCTGGTGGCGCTCAGGGTGCTGCTGCAGGTGCTGCCTGAGGGTGATGTTTGAAGGTGCTGCTGTCAGAGTGGTGTGTGCTGTAAACCCTGCTTTGGAGCGGGCATGCTGGTGAGCGGATGCCGGTGGAAGGTGCTGCTTGAGGGTGCTGTCGAGCTAGCTTGCTGGTGCTGCTGCAAGGGGTGATGCTTCAGGGTGCTGCAAGGAGGGTACGTACTGTACCCAACTCGTGCTGCAAGGGTGCTATGTGAAGGGCGCTGCTGCACGCTGCAGGGTGCAGCTGTTAGAGTGGCGTGTCCGCTCTGGAGCTGGCTGGTGGTGCCGCTGCAGGGTGCTGCTTCAAGGTGCTGCAGTTAAAGTGGTGTGTGTGCGCTTTGGAGTTGGCATGTTGGTGCCATTGCAGGAGCTGCAGGGTGCTGTTGTCGGATTTTTCTCAGAAGCAGCAGGAGGCGTAGTCTAGCCCGTGGCGAATGGTTACAAAGAAAAGAGCTCACAAAACACAAGTTCTGATCTTGCAAATGTACCAAGGTTCAGAATTGGGAAATTTGGGGTATGATTCGGGTATGATTCGGGCATGATTCGGGGTATGATTCGGAAACCCATCTTTTTTTGAATTCAGGAAGCTTTGTTGCTTGAGTCTCTTTTTCCCACCGTGAACCTACTACGATTGCTACTCAATGGCTGCAATGGCTCGACCTGCCAGACGACCTTGGACAGGACCTGAATATGAAGAATGTGAAGATTTAAATGCACATCTATGATTTATATCCGCCGGCCTGCCGGCGTCTCTTCTGGATGTTCTTCTCATGTACCTTTAGTTCAGCTACGCTTAGGCTTATGTTCCTCTTCGACGGATTTTTGGTTTGGTTGCCAGCCAGCCAGCCAGCCAGCCAGCCAGCCGCACACAGAGTCATCCCGCTCATCAGCCTCATCAGCAACACAGCAAGCAGCCAGGCACGCAGCCAGCCAGCTGCAACTAGCCAGCCCTATACCAGCAGCAGCAACTGAGCCAGCCACCTAGCCAGCCAGCCAGCCACCCAGAGCCAGCCACCCAGAGCCAGCCAGCTTAGGGATAATGATGAGACTCTGTGCGCGTGGAGAAGATTCGCCACTCCGTGAAGGTATGTGAAGGTAGCCAGGGATCATCGGGTCTGGCCAACACTGGTCAATTAGCTTGTCAGGTTCATTATAACAGGTGAGGCCAATGCAATCCCAAACGATCCCAAAAGAAACATTCATAATAATGATTTTTTGGGGTATGATTCGGGGGAATGATTCGGGGGTATGATTCGGGGGTATGATTCGCACAAATCGAACTTCCTGCCTTTACTAAAAACTGCACCCGTTAAAAAAAGACACAGCCATATATACATATTATTATATTTGTATTGTGCCTGTGCCACAGTCAAGAGTAGAGTCATCCCACTTGACAATGGAAAGTTCATGACAATGGGTTTATCAACCCCCCCAAAAAAATATTGGTTTGATGACCATCATTGACCATCCCCCCATGATGTGAAAACAATCTCTTTTTGTGACTTGACCGTGGCCACATTAATATCAGACCAGGGGACCAGATCCCGAAAATCACGACGGGGCGCGAAAGCACAACAGGATCAACAGGTTCCATGTGAAATCCTCACCAATTTGATGCCTATTCAATCTGAGAATCACCATGAAATGATGGTTAAATCACAATCTTTGATGGTTCACCAGTTCTTGTTGCGATCGAAAAAAAAATGATGCTTGATGGAAACCATGATCATTGTTGATACTGAAATCACAAAAACTAATCATATGGAGGCTACCTAATGAAATCATCATGAAGCAAGACTGGTAGCCTGGAGTCCAGCAGGCTATCACCATGGGCCAAGGCACATCGTCACTTGCAGCCCTTTGACCTCGTACCACGGCCGCATCTGCCGCCTGGCAACGAGTTGGTGGGACATTTCCGTGCAGTGAACCATGACAAGTTGTGAGGATTTTCCATCAACAAACACAGGACACTTATGGGACATAATGGGCATATCTATATAATCAGAGATGTAATGGGATATATGATGGGATATAATGAAAGCTAATCAAGGGCTTGCGTTAACATCGTTAGCTACCAACAACCACAAATGAATTGAAGGTTAATCTTGACGACTCTTGACGATTTATTATTGGGGGGTTACCAAATCATGGGGGGCGGTTGAATCACTATGATGACTAGTTTCTATGGTGACATGCGGGACCCGGGAATCGTAATCACCACAGCCAGGTATGGATTCCCAACCACTTGGAACATCACCCCAGGAAATGCGGAGTGTAATCACCAGCCTTACAACAATCAATACGAGGATCCTCCAAGTAGTGGGATATAGCGATAGCAAGTTCTCAGTAGTTGCGGATCGGATACGTATAGACAGTAATACAGTATAAAAGTATACCATAATATATATATAATTATATATACATTTGTATATACATATATATATATATATACATACATATAATGTGTGTATATATATATACACAGACATTCTACAGCCGGCACAGTTAAATCGGTGTTTTCTTTTTTCTGAAAATAGGGTATACACCAAGTTGCGACAACTTTAATAGGGAAAATGATGCTTAACATGATAAACCATCGAATTTAGGGATACCTTGTTGACAGACACATGTGGAAAACTCGGTAAGAAGCCAGATGGGCCATATTTAATGACTAACCATTTCAAGTTCTTGTAAACAATCCCAAACAGGGGCAAACCCAATGTTCAGCCCAAATTTGGGATGGCGATCTGCAAACATGTATCGTCAACCTTGGCCAACGGCCAACTTTAAAAAGGGAAAAGCAAAGAATCCGTGACATCCCAAAATTGAAGGGAGCATCTGCAGGAACGCACTGTATTTCATGATTTTCATGGGAAATGACTTCTACCTGGGCCGTCGTATTCCCAATGGGTTAGTGAATCCTTGAAGTTAAACTATATCTGGTTGGTGGTTTCAACTCCTCTGAACAATATTAGTCAGTTGGGATTATTATCCCCAATATATGGGAAAAAAAGCCATGTTCCAAACCACCAACCAGATATAGTTTTAAATGTCCAAGTACTAAGTACCAACATGTTGGAGTAAAATACAAAATTGTGTGGATGAATTACAATTACAACTCAATTATGACATACATGACTGTATATGTAATGTTTGGTGAAGGGACACAGCTCAAGATCAACTGATTTCTGATTCCAGGTTTATGAACTATTCTAATTTAGCCACACAAACAAACATATGGCTCAGTCCGTTCAAAACATACAACCCCCTAAAAAGATTCACAGGACCCAAGATTCAGTTCCAAGGGTTAACAAAAAACAGAAGCTGATGTATAATTTATGATTTTTATGTCATGAATTTCATGTGGGTTACCACACATTTTACCACATCACGTATATATTTTATGACATGATTATATATATATATATATTAATGAAGTTATCACACATTTTACGCCATGGGTTCCGGATTTTCCGATCTGAGCTTCCAACAGCCAAATCTTCCGGGCTGGCACTGTTCCGGTCCACCCAGCGATATGAAATGGGCCTTGCGGGACACGCTGAACTTGGGGACACTGTGGTGGAAAATCACTGGGAAATAGCAATTCCGTATGAATGAGTCAAAATGGTTGTAGAATGAATGGAAAAATCCTACTGATCAACTAGTTACACGGATGATTTTCCATATTGCAACCTTTGATTCGCAATATTTCAGGTGGAGCTCCAATTTCGGCTTCGGATTGGATGATACGGATCACAAGTTGAGTTGGTTATTACTCGCTGGCCAGTTGAGCTTGATTCACATTGGCTGAAATTTAGAAGCCCGTTAATGACCATTTTGGACATGGCAATATTCAGCAATTCTAAACATTCGCAAGTGACAAGTGGAGCGACCACAATAAAATCTGGCCATTGGCCATCTGGAAACACAGAGTCTGTGCGGATCCAAAAGCTATGCTCATGACGGGCCCCTACCATCAGGGTCGGAAAGCACATACCTGGCAACTGAAAAAGCTATTTTGTACGAGTGGATGGGCATCATAATCACTGTTCGATGCAGATAAGTACAGTTATCCTTGAACAGCCTTTGGCAGTCGAACACGGCAACAGGAAGTTTCAGTCTTCAACGATCAATTAGTTTGGAAATGCCTATCAACAGTAAATGGATCAGAAAATGGCTGGCTCTCAGATGCCAGATGTCGCTGGAAACTCAGCCCGAACTTCTGGCACACACTTAAGGACCTATATATTGGTTGCGGGGTTCAACTGAAACACCCACAATATGCCTTCACGGGGGATCATCCTCTCTTCATATTGGGATTGAAAACAGAAACTTGTTCATCCAGCAAACATGACTTAATATGTTGTTTCTTTCTTGTATGTAAATGCCACATGTTCTTGTTCCTGGACAAATCGCTCGTTTTTCCAAGCAAACATCCAGGGGGAAGAGGGCCATTACATCAGCCATGGCGGGCAGCAAACAAGTAAGTGCCACAGCAAGACCAACTCTCTTCCTTTGCTGGTCCTAAGCCAAAGCCAACGATGGACTGATGAGTCCAAGTCAGTATATATGCCTGTTTATTGTGCACTGTAGCAAATTTGATTTCACTTAGACATTCAAAGTGCCCCCCCCAAAAAAATGCAAGTACCAAAATCATCCAAAATCTCTTTTGCACACCATTTTCTGGGTACCAGCTGAGGGCCAGGCGATTCCGCCAGATCCTTGCGAAGGCTATCTGTTTGTCCCAAAATTCCACAGGAAACGATGAAGATCAATGGAAAAAAACAGCGTTTTTAATAGCTAAATCATCTACAAACAAGCATATGATCAGGGGATTTTCGGATTTTCTATGTTGGATTGCCAGATTTGGTATGAAAACTACTATTTATAGCCACATCTGCGCCAAGTTTGAATTAAATGTTGATTTTACTACTGCATATGGTGATTGTCCAAACATGTTGACTGGCAGAATTTGATGGTTCTCCGAGTTGCACTTCACCGTACAATAATGTTGGCTTATTGCTACCGATTCCTATAATTGGTCAGCCTGCGTATATGAAATAATTCCACCATCTTATCTCACTGGTGTTCAACTATCTTCAATAGTCTACCGGTGGCTCTCTAAATATACTTGCATAGGTTAGGATAGAACTGATATTGGAGCCCCTTTTAACTATGAAAAAAACGAAGTGACAACTAGCCAGTTTTGACCCTTCAACAATCAAACGTAGCAATGGACAATCTCCTATAAATGGAGGATTTAATGGGAACATCATAACTCCAATGTGGGGCCCCCGAACGATAGCTAAGTTGGTGCAAATAACATCCAATAACTATGGTTTGTAACACATAAAAACTTTAGGTCATGGGGGTTATAAACAAACTTATAACATCTTCGGGTCCCACATTGTATAAACAATGGGATTTTATCGAGCCACGTTTGACAGTGCCGTGCCTTGTTGCCCTGCATCACCTGAGCTCTTCCTTCTTGCCAGCGTCGCACCTGCCGAGCTAAGGGGGGATCTTCATGGAAAAAATGCCAATACTATTGACCAATCAAGGCTTGAACATGTTTCATCAGATTTCTCCCAAAATGTTTTTTAGGCGTTCAACATGATTAGCAAAATCATCGGAAGACCTGAAGACATGAAGACCTCATATTCTTCCTCGGTCACAATGGCTGTGTTCCCAGCCTCTCTGACTAAAGGAGGAGGTGGCCTGTTGCCATTCCTGAGCGGCACTTGAACGATGGTGGCACACCAAGAGCAGATCTAAGTCTAAATCCGACCTGAGGAATTCTAACAGGGGCAAAAATGCAATACTTTGCAATTCCATGTGTATATTATTTGGGAGGGAGCGGGGGGCGGTTTAGGCAACCGGGAAGGGTATCAGATCGAAATCCCGGTGAGAATGTGCCAAACACGTTGTTACCGGGTTGGGATGTGAACAACTAGCCTTACCCATATGCTTTGGTCATGACTACGCCCCGAACATTGTTCATTCTGTTGATATTTGGTATCGGAAGTGTCAGGGTGAAATAAGCCCCAAAAACTGAACTTTGATGATAATTTAATAAATGCCAACTTGGAAATACACAATGTTTGGGAAGATTCCAGCCACCAATCGTGTTCGGCTAGGTCGTGGTGAGGTCATCACTAGACCCTCCACATACCCATGAAAAATGGTAAAAGTTCAACAATAATACTGTAAGTATATTACCCCATATTCCCACTTGGAAGTGCAGTTCAAGTTGTACGTGATTAACTTATAGGGGTTTAGTTCACCATGGTGATGCCCATTTGCAACCTCAAACTCCCCACAACTGATTTTTTTCGAGTCGCAACATACTGGTGGGAGGCTCTGTTGAAACCGTTGACCTGAGGCACCAGATGGAGTGATCAAGTAGGTGAAATGAATGGGATATTTGACCACCATATCCCACTGACCATCAGTAACCATCAGTAACCATCAGTAACCATCATTAACAATTACTGTATATAATTTAGGACATGTTTTTTGAAGAATCACAGTTTAGTTGTCCATGTTTTCATGGCTGAATGGATTATTCAAATAGCTGTTTAACAGGAAACCAGAATTTTTAGACGTTCTATAACCACATGGAGGGGTTTTTATGCCGTGACTGATAAAACCATTCAACCATTCATCTGGCAGAATCAATCAATCCCCAGTGACCAAATCTGAGCAGTTCGTTGTACTGTTAAACTAACACTAACCCATCCATACATTGCTGGTTTATACCACCAATGTATGGTAAAATTGGGGATGTTTTACTATTGCTTGACAAAAAAAATAGAGCCTAACAGGGATGGTGATCCATGTCCCCTGTGTTCAGGAGATGCAAACTGAAACGATATCCAGGAAGACAACGGCGATTCAACATCATAGAGGAAACTGGGAAAAAACCTATCCATCTAAAATATCATAATCATGCACAGGATGGGCCCCCCAGTTTTGTTGTAAGTTGCTTTTAACATCATTATAACCCCCATTTTTCACTCTAGTTATATCATGTTCTATCTACCCGACACAATAGTTTTTTGCCACTTTTTTTCAGGCAACTGAGTACGCTGGGGATGATTCCCCGAATCTTGGCCGCCGGACGTTTGAGGACTGGAGCTCAAGGTGCTGGCCATGGTCGAGGTCGTAAGTCTCTGCTGCCTGACGATTCGTGACGGCACAGGAGCTACGTGTCATATACCATGTAAGCGCGTTGGGGATGTCAAGAAACATGAGGTGCTCATGGGATTTCATTGGATTTCATGAGATATGTAACGACAGATAGTGTAATATATTATATGATTATGTTTTATACTATATGATATTATACTACATTGTTACATATTATTATACTATATAATATTATACTATATTATGCAATAGTATATTCAATAGTTTATTAAATTGTATTAAATAAATAAATATATATGTATTAATATGTTTTACTAGAATATATTGTGTTCTGTTATATAGTGTATTACAAATTGACTTACATATTAAATCATATTACTGTAAATCAAATCAAATCATATTGGGTTATATATTATATATCAAATGATATTATACGTTATATGTTATGCGTTATATATATACATGATATATTATATTAAATAAGATTATATTAATCTGTATCAAAACAAATCATCATATCACAATATATCATATTAAATATTATTATATTACCCTGACCTTCCAACCACAAGGTTTAACGCTGTGGTTAGTCTAAACCCATGTCTTTACTTAACCCCATCATTTCATTGCCTATCACTACTGCCTTCCAAAGAGCAGAGGCAGAATCTTTGATTACATCAAGAATGCAGAATAAACAATACCGGCCTTTAAGGAGTTCCAAAAAGTTCCCTTTCCTTCAGCTTGCCAGTACTGAATCCTAAAGATAGCATCCATGACGCACATGCTCCACAGAAAAGGTAGCGCGCAATGTGTCACACCAGATCTTCGATTTTGCAAAAACTTTAGTCAAACCATCATTTGA